TCGAAATTGAGCCCAAAATGAAGCTCGGAGGCAGCATGACAGCTCACGCCCCTACACCCAATGTGTGCCATTTATTTAGGGATAAACTAGGTACATTCTCCATTACGCTTGGCTCGAGTGGTAGTTCATGGCTAGGAATTTATGAGATAGTCTCTAGTTCAAGTAGGCATTGCCAGATTGCAGATTATAATTCAAACAAGTGAACATTTAGCTACTCATAGATACCAAAATGAAGGCTGTTGGTTGTAAATTTGTGCTGTGAGTGTGAAACGAAGTGAGCGTCAAGGTCATAATAAAAATGTTTGTTTGTCCTCACCCGACCGACCCGCCAAAAAGGGGCCGACTCAAACATTTTTAGCTCATCTGACATAGTCCGATGCAGCTTGTAGAATCCGCATGATTGTCCGTCACAACAGTGTGGGCCCACAACAAAACTCTAAAACGGTCTTGGACGAGTACGGTGCACGTCCCATGATAAAACGGGACGGTCAGGGGGGTGGGGGGTGGGAAGGGGGGAGGGGGGTAATCCGAACAACCGGAGTTGGGTATGTCGAAGCTGGGAGTGTCAAAGGTAATAGGCTCAAGAAGGTAAAGAAGGGGAACATTCTCCTCCTAACTTAAGTAATGGGAAGCAGAATGCAGAATTGTGGCACAAACAAAATCGGCTTGACTAGCTTGTGATAGTCGGTGTAATAAGCATCATGAGAAAAGCCACACTGTGCCGAATATTGGAGGATCACACGGTCAAAAGGTCAATGGGGCACAGCTAGATTTTTAGAACATTTGCTGAAGGACACATGAGTCCTACGGAGACGATTGAAAAACTTTTTGTTTGCACGCGTGACCTACATTTTTTAGCTTTGATGAAAAGGGAGCCGAAGCAAAATGTACTTTCTAGCTAGCAATGCGAAAGAGTAAGTTTCGGATAACCATTTTACCCCAGAAGGAGGGTTAAACATCTGATTTGTTGACTGTTAACAAAAGGACTGAACTGCTTTGCTATTGTGGAGTAGGCTACAGTTGCATACAAAGTTCACCATTGCAAAGGCTAAAATGTTTCGTTGAAGTCAATGGTTACGCATCCTCTTAAATCATTATTATTTGTCTAATAGCCAGTGTATTTTAAGCACCCTCCGTAAGGAGTAGCAACCGCTGTATTAGCATACAACTTGGCAATGAACCCTAATGCTTCGTGGGTAGGATGGTCTGCACAAAAGCATTGGGGCAGCCCATTACGCTATGCCACTGGGGGTGAACTGGCACTGATTTCTAAATCATAAATTATTGCCTGGCAACAACTGCAATCGCAGGGGTCCGGTTTCACGAAGCCGTAACTAAACTTAAAGGAGGATCCTAAGATACACTAATCGAGAGCTACCACTTCCCGTAATTATGAATTAGTTAATCATACTCAAATATCTGTTTCACGAAAGCGATTTAAGTACAAAAAACCTTTGTATTAACTATATCACATAAACATTACCGCTTCAACATGAAAGAACTGCGGTACCGCGCCAGTTTTCAGCGCCTTTCGTTAGTTACTCAGATGGAATCGGGTCATCGAGGTGGCGAGCGATGTACCAGTCTAAAACAAATACACGGTATTCTAATATGGCGGAGCGAATACGAAAAAAACCCAAACTAACAAAATCGCTTTCAAGTTCGGTACCTGAAAAGGAAATTAATTGTAAACTATAATGATTGAAGTAGTACATTTATGGCTTTATGAAAGGACATGAAAAGATGTCCTTCTGCTGACATGTCGGAAAAGTAAAGTGCTCGATAAAATCCTTGACCCCCAAGAGGAGGGTAAAAAGATTTTGTTGACTGTTACCAAAGGAGTGAAGCTGCCTTTGCCCATAGAGGCCCGACTCAATCCTTAATAATTAAATTCTATGGGAAAAATGAAGTAAAATTTCCAATTTGAAAAATCTGCAAGCATACCTAATAGTACTTAAGTATCTAAAACTACTTCTAAGTTCTAGTACTACGCAACTAATTATAGATTTATGGATTAATCATGCCCCTGAGTAGACATTAAATATTGTGATTAACTAATCAATGATTAAAGTCAATTACAGCTTCGTGAAACAGTCCACTTTAATTTAAGTACGAAAGTTAATCATGATGGATTTAATCAGATTCAATACTTAAGTACGCTTCGTGAAACCGGCCCTGGCAATGTGTTAACTCACAGCTGAGGCGAAATTCTCGGCACTGCCCTGAATATAACTGGATTTCAGCAACATGGGAGTAGGTTATCACGCAGCGAAGGTGATGTCATCTTTGATATTGATGACACTTGCAAAGCGCGCATCTCGCGGCAACTGCTTTTGCCTAAATTAGAGCCCCCTCTCCCCACTCTCAGCCCCCACCACCACCACTACCCCCGCCAGCTCGACAGCATATCCATGAATAACATGATTAATATAGCGAAAGTCATTAAAGTTACACAGCTGTATCTTATACATGTACTACCGTATAGGCAAGAGCTAGCTATCATAGATTTAGATGCTGTATTCAAGTAGTATCTCTAGAATATATGCTCATGAGCGCGAACAGCGGTGAGGAGGGTGCTCTCATCTCGTTGCCAGTGAGGTTTTAGGCATCGCAGACAGCCTGCCGTTCAGGTGAGCGCTGTCGTTCTGATCGGCAATATGTATTGATCATTCTCATTCTTTTTGTTTTTACAAAATTGTATCAATGTACATTATATAGAATCTGTAAGGCAATACAATGAAAATAAATATGTAACGCAAGAAAAACAAAACATCAAATAAAAGGTACTCTAACACAAGCAAACCCGATATGGAGGAACACCCATGATGAATTGTATAACAAAAAGACCCCCTCAAAAAAAAATTAAGCCTACCTATCCAAAACTTTTCAGCTGGTCGGTGAGGCAAATAACGACTTTTAATGTGCCCAAGCTCTATATTTTTATTGTTTGTGCACAGCAGGTGTTCGTCGGTGTACTAGTGTGTGCAGAGAAAGCATTTGAAACGTCATTCACGAGGAAATTGTCAGTAATAAAGGCAAAAGAGAAGTAAAAAACATAAGAGCTTGGAGTAAATAAACATTCGTTGTTATTTACCTAAAGAAATATCTCATAAATTCCTGCAGAAAACTACCACTCGGCCAAGACGTAAATGGAAGGAAGTACCTGTTTATACCCAAATAATGGCACCACATTGCGTGTCGGGGTGAGCTGATGCCTGCCTCCGAGCTTCATTTTGAGGCTCACTAAGCCAAGCTAGCATAATGCGCATGGGAATGACGTCACACACACGACAAAATTCATTAGACAAAACAATCAAGTAGCCTGGTTAGGGAGTTTCAGATGATAAACAGGCCCTTCCTTCTATATTTTGGCAAAGTGTGAGTTTTCTGCAGGAATTTACGAGATCTCTCTGATTGAAGTAGGTATTACCAGATGGCAGAGTTATAATTTGAACAAGTGAACATTTAGCTATGCATAGATACCAAAATAGAGGCGATTGGTTGTGTGTTTTTGCTGTGATAGTGTGAAACGAAGTGAGCGTCGAGCGAATTTTGCAATTACACTTTCCTACCTGCTCTGTATTTTTATTGGTTATGCACAACGGCGTGCGTGCAGGGTACTTTTTAGCTCTAGTACTATAGCCCGCGTACATTGACTGCCGCAGGGCTATAGAACATTTTCAGCTAGATTTCGCTGCTGCAACAGTTCCCAAAGTTCCCACAAAAAATCGCTTTACAAAACGCAAAATGATCGGGCTTTTTAACACTTATCTATCTACGTGGACATCTCACCTATATTTTTGAACACTTTCCACAACTTTACACCATGTATTTATGCCTTTAATAGCTTTATTCCTCACAAGTCAGCACTACTGGCTGTACAGTTTGAAATATTGTGGCGTGCAAACGCGTGACGTCACCGCCTCACCGGTATTGTACACACATACACCATAGCTGCCATGTGTTTTGCCTACATATCCGGTGACGTCACGCGTTCGCACGCCACAATATTTCAAACTGTACAGCCAGTAGTGCCGACTTGTGAGAAATAAAGCTATTAAAGGCATAAATACATGGTGTAAAGTTGTGGAAAGTGTTCAAAAAGATAGGTGAGATGTCCACGTAGATAGATGTGTTAAAAAGCCCGACCATTTTGCGTTTTGTAAAGCTATTTTTTGTGGGAACTTTGGGAACTGTTGCAGCAGCGAAATCTAGCTGAAAATGTTCTATAGCCCTGCGGCAGTCAATGTACGCGGGCTATAGTACTACTACTAGAGCTAGGTACTTGTGTGTTGAAGAGGAGTATTTGAACGACATTTGCAGGCAATTGCCAGTAATAATCACCAACATTAAGACTTTGGTAGTAAATACATTTCGTGTTTATTTACCATCATTTTATTAATGAAACGTTCCAAGTGCATGCGTGTGTGATCACAACGCCTTGCCAAGAGTCTCTCAGTAAGGTAACCAGTGAAACCACGGGTTAATAAAACGTGACTAATTTTCCTGGTTGATTATACACAGTGGCTATATGCCCGGCAGCCGGCGTATATCTGACGGCTGCCGGGCATATAGCCACAGCGTTGATTATATTCTTGTCCCTTGATGGGGACAGATAATAAACATTAATACACTCTCTGCCAGACACTGAGACAACCAGTGACTTATTTGATTATATTTACCCATATAACTAGTATCTAACACAACAGAAGGAGGTTCTTTTAAGCGTGTATGGCCAGAATTATACCGTCCTGCTCCAAAACATTGTCGAACACAATATAAACAAGTCTCCATTATACAGAGTGGACCGTGTGTGGCGCCATCTATGTTTAACCGGAATAACTAACGCAACGTTAATTGTCAAATCAGTTTGAATATTTTGTGTTTGAATATATATTTTTTTTGGTTTGGGTCTTTTGAGTTGTTGAACGCTTTCAGCTGCGCTTCAGACACATGCAGGACCAGGTGTTGTGTAACTTACACACTCAAACGCAACACGTAAACACATGCGCGCAACCTAGCCAAGTTATTTTCTAAATACGGGTGGCATCCTCCCGCTATCTATCGGAAGCAAAATTTTATAATATATATAATATATATATATTATAAATTTATATAAAATACCTATATTTTATTATTATATACAGCTCAGCGATTGTATGTCACATCATGAACGTTCAACTACAATATGCAATTCTTATATTGAATAATGATGAGCGTTACAGCACGAAACGGCGATAACGTGTTCAGTGTTAACTTATTCTGTTCCACGTGGTTCCCGTGTATAAAACCTGTATACCATTAGTAGCACGTAGCTTGTGTGTGTCATACACGCGTTAGAAAACCCGAACTATATCTGTAATGTATTAGGTTTCAGTAGAATAATAGTTACCGCTGTACGGTGGCGCCGCCACCCGGTTCTAAAAAAGAAATAAAAGATGGATGATTATACGACCAGCTATTGAATATTAGTCCTTTACTAAGGCCGTGAGCCGGGCATAGAGCCGAGGTGCGAGGACATAACTATATCAACACAAGGAAAAGAAACAACAGCAGAATCGCATCAATGCACGAGGCAATAATTAGTTCATTTTACCAGCAGCAATATATACATGCGCATTCAACGATCACTCGTGAACATTTCTTATTATCGGTAACATTATTACACGTACAAAACAAAGCTATTGTATACGCTTAGTATCGCCTCTCAATATACAAGCACGAGATAGGATCAATTCAGATCCACGAACCATTCTTGACAAAAAGCAGCGGAACACCAGTATATATCGAAAATGACACAAAGGATTAAGTCTCATTATCAAAATTCTGTCAACAATTCCACCAGAAGATACTGAGTAACTATACTCCCTGTATACTGCAGTGATGGTAAAAATAATTTGCTACAAAATAATAACGATGGAAAAACAGAGAAAACAACAAATATAAGGCAACACTATGAGAAAGTTATTGCCATTATTCTAGAAAACTCGGCTACAGAAAGTCTACAACCCTTTCAGGAAAAGAAGAGAACTCGGAGAATGGTATTTAATATCCGTGTACTTGCCACGCATCGATGAGGTTCCAGAGTAGCCGAGATATCTATTCATGTATGCAAGAAACGCTAAAAAATGTGCATAGACGAAGCCTGCCAGTGAGTAATGTAATGCAGTCAACCTTCTATGCAAGCGTCACTTAAGCGAAACCTAGGTGTGTCCTCTATAGACACGTGTCCGTTCTATAGAGGTGTCCGCTGACACAGGTTTGACTGTACATGGAAGGACGCACTTGGATACACGTGCACGCGAGCAGTTATACTGCCTGCACTCGCACGACTTCCGGATCTGCTCTTAATAATTACACTGGAAAACAATGTATACACATAATAGGCAGAGAAGAAAAAATTATACGAATAGAAATATGAAAAAAATGCTACGGCAGAATGTAAACATACACGTGACTGGGGCACGCACACTCGGAAAGAGCTTCATATATTAAAACGGAATAAGAGTAGATCAAGATAACCTACATAATACCACACAGACAGAATGATAACAGCATTATGAAAATCTTGCGTCGATCACGAAAGCATTATCGTTATCACTTGCATAATATGTAATCATGAATAATATTCGAAATTTCTGGCAGATTCTGTCTTTGTGGTAGCAAACAAACTGGACAAAATACGCATGGAAGCATTTGGAAGGTGCCGCACAATAAAATGTATAAAGCCATTTCTGCAACCACCATAAATACACCCATCTGTCACACCTCACGAAAATATTACACATCTGGGATCATCTAAACCGGTTCCGTTATTCGGCCGAAGAAAAAACATATGGTAAAGTAATAATTTTCTACACTCTTAAACATGAAGCTTCTACACTAATACTGAATTAGAAACGCCATCAACTCTGCATGTAACACACATTTGCTCATAATTCAACTAGCACGGCATTTTAATTGCCGGAAAAGTCTCCTTGGATATCACAATAAAGGGGTGCTCCATAAACACTGCTAAATAATGTTTGGACATACACTCTGGGCGAGCACCAGTTATCATTGGGACTGACCACCGCTACCAGCCACACTCCCAACTCTACACATCAAGTCCAGGCTATTAATAAAGTCAACCAGACTTACAATGCTTGTTCATTGACTATCGAATGTTAGTGGCACATTACAATGACTTCATTCCCCGTTGCCACCAAACCACACCGATGCAACGTATATTAGCATGACTCGTTATGTGGTTTATAGTCACTCAGCTGTTATAATTAGATGTGAATGCATTTCACTTAATTAGTTTAGCGATTGTTACACTAGAAAATTATGCAAACATGCAACAAAGTTTACAAGTCACCCCTAGTATTAAAGCTTGAAATCGGCTCAAACAGATAAAGAGATTTAAAAATATATCATGAAGAAAACTAATCAGCTGTGTATTAAAAAAAGTGAAACCATTAAAAATTAGTATATAACTAGAGAAGAAACGTTACTTTTGATAGAAAACTAGGGGATTCTGTTTTCCTGGGACTGTGTGAATAGTAAACGATGCAACTTTGAATATTGATGTAAGATAATTATGAAAACTTTACTGCATTGCCTCTATGAAATGCATCTCTCGTAACACCCTCACTGACATAACACCGGTCACGGCAATGCAGGCTTGCAAGATCTGTCCCATAGATGGCAGCGCTTGCTCATCCCTGCATGTTCGCGTCTTCGCATATCATCTATTTGTCATGTATGGAAGCGATCTCCCATCGGGATCAGAGAAATGGATTGCTCTTGTTTGCTCCGGGGGCCGCCTGTAACAGTAAAAGACATGCGATAGATTCACAGTTGTGATAAACTACTGGAACACGAAAGAGCCATGAATACCCGCGAGCCAAATTTGCCCACAATAAAAGCAACTTCCCTATTGGGTAAATCTGAAATGCTTAAATGAAAGTGTCAATGACACTGTAGCTCACCACAAAAAAGGACACAAATGAGTGAGTGAGAAGAAGTCAGTTTTAATTGAGCAACCATCGACGTACATTATAGAAACGAAGAGTATATATGGGAGAACTCCCATTATATAATCTTGATAATTATATGTGTAATTTTTTATGTGAAAATAATAAATAATATTATATATAAATTATAAATAATTTATAAACCAAAATGAATCACAATTTGTGACGGTAGATGGCGCTATACCCGCTTTGATGTTTCTTAGCATAAATCATTATATCATAATAATATAATAATAATAGTATAAATCATAATATGTTCATAGCAGGAATTTTGCATTAAAGATATTGTCAATGAAATCTTGTAAAACGAACCAGACGAGTGTGACACGGTGACACCACAGACTGTTTAATATCTGCGTGTCTATATATATATGCTATATAATTGCCAAACCCTACATAATTTGCATAATTTTTTTTTTAAATCAAAACCCCTAGCCCTTATTCATTCACATACCAAAAATGAGCAAAATCCGTTGAACCTGAACTGACTAATGACAATTCCCATTTTTGCCAAAAAATTGCCGTGGCTCGAAAGTATGTCGACTGGCGTGCTCCAAAATAGGACGTTCAATATGGGAGCATAGCAGTAACAACTATACCCAATTTCAAACATGTGGGTCAAACGGTTCCTGAGTTATCGTTGACCGAAACCAAATGTTGACGGACAGACGGACGACAACCCATGGCAATAGCTCTGCTTGACGATGTCAAGGTGAGCTAAAAATCTTTAAGCATTATGTACGCCAAGCTGGCAGACATCCAAGGATTGATAGATTGTTTGCCAACGAAGTGACAGAGAAGGCAATTCCAAGTTTCCTAATATATTTTTGTGTGCAAATTTAAGAGTTGCACCAATCATTTTAAAAGGAAACATTTGAGAACTGTATTTCATGCATGTTAATAAATTCAACATCAACTGTGAATGTTAAGGTTCATATCTTGAGTGAATTATTTTTTATTTTTTATTTATTTCCTGAGTGAAAGTGCAAGCAGCAATGATTTGACCTACTACTTCTCAACGCGAGTTTAACCTGTAAATGAGGACATGCATGAATCTTACAATGATTGTTATACATGAATATTACAACCGATGAGAAAAGAAGCAATGCCGAATAGTTACATGCAGTTATCGAATGCTCACCATGAAAGGATTCGCTGTGACTGTAGGTTGTTGTCCCCAGCCTGCAAACTGCTGAGATTGCTGTGGAGCTACGTTTCCAAATCCCCCTGTGGCTAAGCAAATATGGCATATACATGTAATTCAATGCTAGCACTTAACAGAGAAGTACCTCAGGACACGTAGTAACATTATTTTATTCACTGGAAACATATTTACTTTCGTCCATTTCTTTTATAAATTTTCTCTCTTTGACAATAAGGACCCTAATTAGCAGCAAAAGATTATTAGGCATTTAATTGTTAGGACTCAGTATTCAAACTATCATCGATTTTGAACAAAACACGATGTTTGGACAAGGGCATTTGAACAATAACCAAGTAATACAACATACCTAGCAGTCTCTATATTTATCATATTTAAATGTATTAAATGTATAAAATGTAATTGAAATTTCAATATATTATATTTTTTTAATACTAGAATGGACAACAATGACATTTTCATCATGCTTGTGTAGAGGTGCGCGGTATTACCGGTATACCGGTATACCGCAGTACGTGACCTGTACCGGTACGTACCGCGGCACTTTGTGTGGTGTAGTGGTGTACCGGCTTTTTTTAGCCATTTTTATCACATCAATTTTATTTCACTTCCTTGTCATTACATAGCTTTATAAATTCATCTCTGTCGATCGACACCATTCACGCTATATTCGCGTATCTCCAGCACCTATTCTATATGCCTAGTAGATAGTCTGTGCTGTTTTATTTGTACATACTTCATTACTTCAGACTGGTTCTAGCCGTACGACACTCCTACTCTCGCTCATGTTTGTTCCAAAGGAATTGCAAAATATAGCAGATTACAAGAATAATGCGACGCGGCGACTGCCAGGCGTTTTTCTATGAGCGCGGCAGCGGTGCCTTTGATGGGAGAACGGGGCGCGATCGATCACGAGCGCGTTTCACTAAAGCCCTCCGCACATGGCGAGCTATCTGCTGAGCTGACGCGTGAGGCCGTTGGCTCAGCAGATAGCTCACCGTGTGCTGGTAACTAAATTCTACAAGATTTTTGGCCTCACGAGGCTGTGAGACGGATATCTAGCGTGTTTGATATTTCTGGCTTCACGTGGCCAGGCTATCTGGCTCAGCCACAAATATTTACCGACCAATGAAAGCGCAGGAATCGGGCATGTGATTTTAAAATGTCGGCGCCAATGGAGCAATGTTCAGGACTTTCAAATAGTACACTGTGTGCGTCCCATGCACGCATCATACACACGCGCGCGTACACTGTGCGCATAATTGTTTACATTGTTTATAAAATGATAAAGACGTTTAGAAACTATAGACACCAAGTATCAAGAGTACATAGACATACACTGCAGCTTTAACAAACAAACAAACCTTGTGCAGTAATGACTGGCATAAAACAATTAGAGAGTGCATTATTACATGTACAACATTACACAGTATGCTTGCAAAACGTCGTGACAAACGAAGGTAATACCTATTCAAATTGGTTACAACTAGGACCACACCACCTTGGTTACTACTTATTATAGAAATCCATGCCCCTATGCATCTAAGTTAAGGCATCTATCCATGCAAAGGGTATTGACAAAAGACAGCGGAAAACCCACTAGACAGATTCTCTAAATGGGTTAAACGAAAAGAAAAAGTTTACATGAAATCAACTACAAAGCATGTCAGTAAACTAACCTTGGAATGCATTAAACTGTCCACCACCAGCTGGCATGCCTGGCTGTGTAAAGCTCTGGGAAGGAGCCTGGGGTGCTGCACCCCAGCTGCTAGTCACTGATGCTCCCCACTGCTGTGGGGCGTAAGCCTGAGAGCCAAACGCTACACCATTTTGCATACCTGCAAATCCTTGATTTGCACCCGAACTGAATCCACCTTGTGCCTGAAAGAGAACGGTTAAAAAAAATCGTTACAGTAAATTTCACGACTCGAACCGACACATTTAGTGTGAGTACGATCGGCCACTGTGCAAGTTTGCAAATCCTAAATTTGAAATGAAATCCAAGAATCCGAGACGTGAAACTTACCTAGCCCAACAACACAAAACAATATAGTTAAATCATTCATTCTAGTCACACCTTTCCCTCACAGATGTCGACTGAAGCAAATCAGGACAAAGTTCCTTGCTCAAGGGCACAACAGCAGGGATCAAAGTTGGACTCGAAGCTTCATTGCTTCCATATCCAACACACATGACAATACATAAATTATTTATTTGTTTTATTCATGTTTTATTTACATAAATGAAAATGGGGATAATGGGGACATGTAAATTGGGATGAGGCACCTATGTCTATTGGGATGAGGCACCTATGTAAATTGGGATGAGGCACCTATGTATCATCGCAGCTCAAGGAAACACCAACCTTAAAAACTTATTAACACCTTAGCCCCAAACCGTTCAGTCACAAATAGAGTAATAAGCGATCCACTATACCATCATTGACCCCCCCCCCTCCCCCGCCCATCACACACACGCCCCAGCGATCACGATACCCATGCATGCTCAGTAAGGATGCTTACACTCTGCGCGAAGCCAGTGGCCGGCTGCCCCGCCGGCGCGAACTGCGCAAATCCGGTCCCTGAATGTTGCGGCGCTCCGCCCGCCGATTGTGGCGCTGCCGCATGGAATCCGCCGGCGGCCGCCCCGGGTGGCGAGCCGAAACCTGTAAACGGATTCGTCTGGCTGGTGCCTGTACTCGTCATAGAGAACGGGTTCGACGTGGCTGCAAAAAAAAACGCCTTAGTACTTACCTACAACTGTCAACATGCTTTGTCAGGATGCTACCTGCGTGATAAGGGTGTTTTCTAGTACACCTGATTTTTTAAACAAATATAACCAGTTTGCCAATTTTGGGCATTGGTCATTTTTGGGGGAAATTACTGAGTAGTAGTTTTGATAAAAATGGTGGTTATTGCAAAATTTATACAGTCCTATTAGGAAAACATTGTAAATATTTGCTGTAAAAAGTAAGTTATTTGCTGTAAGTTTTTGAGTTTTAGATTTCATTTAGATTGTGAATGGGTGGGACAGTTGGATCAACCCGGTCAGTGGTCAATGAATAATAAGAACTTTAGAAAGTACAGTGGAAAGTGGTAAAAACAATGGCTAATGATCAATATCACATAATTTTACTATCCTCAAGTTCTCACGTTCGCAGTGGCCTGATAAATGCCAACTACTAATCGCACAACAACTGCCAGCTTGCTTTAAATTATGCATTCTCGCGAATGCACACAACCTAGCTAATATAATCATTATCTGAATAATATGTTAGAATTGTTCTTAAATCACATTATATATACTATTGGCACTGTACTACACAGCGGGTTGTACAGTGTTCACTTAAAGGCATAATAGGCCCATTGATTATGCAATTTTAACTTATGCTAGAGTAACTGGCACCTTGTGTAATTAATAAGTACATTACCTTATAGCCAAACGCGTATTAGTTTGTCCAATATCACTGCTGGTTACTAAGAAATGTCTAATTGAAATCCGCAGTACAAGAAATCAGTTGACTGACTTGTTTACAGTTTCGAAACCGCATACGGCGAAACGGGTGTGATACAGATTTATAGTGCACCGGACATTTTCGCACGCACGCTCGGCCGTACGCAATGCTAGCGATAGTACAGTACCGTAACTGTATACGTAACAGTAGCTCTGATTGTAATGAACGTGGAATCCACGTACGAATCACGGACGCTCGTGATAATGAAGTAGGCTGTGTTGGGGGCCAACACTATGGGGGGATCGCGGACTAACCACGGCCACAGACTAATCATGGAAAGCAGACGGCACTACACGTATTTCGCATATTGGTCAAACGAATACACCTGTGTCCGAAACTGAAGACATGTGGGTACCCGTTTATTAGCACCCACGG